GTGTGGGGGGGGGGGGGGGGGGGAAAGCAGCAAGAGTAGGGGCTGTGCAGTTGCAAACCAAAAGAAGCAAATTAGACAATATCTTTAACAATTCCATCATTATGGCAAACTCCAAAGAGATTTGTCAAGAACAATCCTAAGTTTTCTATGAGTAAAACTCTCAGGAAATATAGTAATATGACTGTGCGTTCGGCTTTCATTTTTCCAGGATTAGTGAAGTAGTCAAATGCTAGAATTATTTTGCTTAATTACACTAACGATACAAATACTATGAGATGTATTTTTCTAAGTGGCATAATTCAAAGATTCATCTGTACACAGATCATATTAACAGGAAACCTCAATGGGGAACTTAATGGATCATGGTATAAGTATGATGGACATCTCTCCAGAAAGTTACTTGCTTATTCTGCTACAGAAGTCTGGTGGGTTAGACTGCTTTGAAAGGCACCTGAAATACACATAGTTCCTCTGCTCATTTGTCTTCGGCAGGAAAGACCTCTTAAAGACTGAATGGCTCTCGCTCGCACATAGAAGATTTTGAAATTGATGTATGTTGTAAATGATGAATATTGTAGAGAAAGAAGGACAAAACTTAAATTTCCTGAAAAGTTTTACCTATGCCTTATAGGATGATTTTTATTTTCAGGATCTCTGGAAAGACTAAATCAAGTCTCACGGTTTGTTAATGACAAGTCATACTGAAAGACTTTCAAGTCATACTGAAAGGCTTTTAGTATGACTTGTCTTTCCTTAAAAAGAATAAAGAAAAACTTGCGTTTGGTCACATTACAGTACAGTAATGAGATCACAAATCACACTGAAGCAGTGTAAGAAATTATTGCATCCCCTTTGAAGTTACCACCCTCTTTCTGCTAATGACATAGCGCATTATTCCAAGTTCGACCCACAGATCTTATCTTCTATTAGTCTTTATTGCCTCTCTTGTCTGTTTTGCCTTTTTGTCATTCTGAGAAAGGAAAGCAGGAGGTAGGCATTTTAACCTCTTGCAAAAAAAAAAAAAAAAAAAAAGCACAAATGAATGAGAAGTGAATGATGCCCAATATCCAGAGACAACAGATGCCTGCCTCCTCCACCATGGCTGAGACTGAACACTTGGTCTTGCATAAAGAACATTGAAATTGAAATGACAGAACTATTTGATATTCTTATGTCACTCTCAAGACTTCAGAATTACAAATGAAGTGCTCTTCCATACCTGATACATCTGACACATGAGTAACACAGCCACCCACATGAAGTGAAAAACACTGTTTAGAAACATCCAAAACATCCACGGAGAACAGGTAGCAATCTGTGTAATATAGGTCCAAAATCCATCCTTTGCATAACTTGTCTCACAGTGGAAACCCCAGTCTAGAGAAAAAACGAAGTGTCAAAAACCATACAGAAGATTTAAAATATGTTTATTGTACATCAACATAATGCCCATATTAGAATGTATTAACTTAAATAAGAAAAGGACAACATGCCAAAATAGTTTTACTTGTTCTCTCTTCCTTTCCCAACTCCTTGAATATATGGCATATGGACGTACTTGGCTGTGATGAAGAAAAAAAATCTAGGACAAGAAAAACATAATCTTCTAACTTAAATTATCCAATACAGTCAATTATTAATATGCAGTTCAATTCCAGAATAAAAACATCCAAAACTCTGATAAGGCAGAAATCTGTAAAAATCCACACCAGGAGATAAAGTATTGATAAGCAATTTAAAAAAAAAAAAAAAAAAAAAAAAGGGCAAAAAACCACATTTACTCACACGAGATACATCCATAAATCATCCAGCAGATCATAAAAAGCAGGAAGAACAGGTATCCCATAAAATAGCGATGGTTCCCTGCTCCTAAAGTTGCACAAGAACAACAGGAATCAAATTACTACACTTTCAGAAGACAGACAACACTACATCAGAAAGTTTAATTGCTTGCTTAGAAGTACTGCTTATTATTGCATACAGAAACATTAGTCTCCCATATTAAGCCAATATAACTTCAAGACAGTGAAATTTGCTGGTTTACTTATGATTTTTTTTAACTTCTGAGACAACAAAACAATGTTTTATTTTCTTCAATTTCTGGCACATTACAGCTGCAATTCACACAAAGGCATTTCATTTGTAACCTCTTTCATGAGCTAATAAAATTACTGGTAGACAATATTTAGAACAATGTTGGTGACAGCTGTTGCAGAGCCCTGAACAGCCAGGAATTACACATCAATAAATAGTTTTAAAATTCCATTAGAAAATCAGACTGCAGAGTTCACTTTCTTAAAAGAAACAGAAATATGAATAAATATACAACCTCCCTTGATAATAAGTTAACTCACAACTTAGGTTTAAACCTGCTTGATGAAGCTAGCTAAAAATAAAGTATCTAATAGAACTTGTAAAACAAACATATGTAACGGAACAGATGAAGCCTAACAACCTCGCTAAAATAATGAATGGGATAAAACCCATTCTGCTTAAGACAGAATTTAAATGCAAAAAAATTCAGTTACTAAAAGACTGATCTATTTTTAACATGAATAGGGCTAAAAAGATGCTGCTTATGCGAATACATCATAATTCTGAAGTACTCAGCCTTCCTTCTGTTTGTAAAATATGTCCACTGTTGCAACCTTCCAACAGCTCTAGGCTGTAAACTAAACCCACAGAGATGATAATAGGCTACAAAAGATTTGGCTGTCATCATCTACAAGCACAGCATTTACTTCTTCATTATGTCAAATGTTTTGCCTGCTAAAACAAGAGCATCCTCTGGAGGCAGAAAATAATCAAGTGCTTTTAGCAAGTGAACTGAAAGACTATATAAATAAGAGATGAGGAAAAATACACATACAACACAAGCTAGACTAAACACAAGACATTTCCTTGAAATCAAACAAGTTCCTTCAGACATAAAATATGCTGTAACATTGCCTTCAATCACCTAAGAGCAAATGAGAAAGTGTTGGGAATGTCCCTATGGTATCACTTTCATTTGCATTCTAAATTTCAGAACTGTTAAGTTTCATAAAAGACATTTTCTAAAAAAAATGGAAGTTAAACAGTGACCTAGAGGCTCATCTGAGAGGCATCTGATGAGATGCTCCTTTCAGCAGCATCTTCAGTGATACTAATCCAAATTCTGCTTAACAGGAAATCCATCTGTGTTTGGTAAAAACATACATATAGCATTTAAAACTATAAATGAGACAGGCACAACCTTGTCCACAGTTAAAAAAAAGACTTCGGAAAAAGAAAGTGGAAAAACTGCCTTTCTTCTGTATCTGAAATAAGATTGGGCAAAACAGGACTATTCTCCACAGTTTCACCCTGGACTGGCAGGAACACAGTCAGTTATTCTCCACAGTTAAAACGATGCTGTAAGAATTGTTGCTCATTTCTTTTATATGGTTGTGCTTATCTTATACATAAGCAATATAATAAAGATAACTGATTTTTTACTGATGGAGTTATATTGCATGATTTAGATGGTTTGTTCATTTCTTAATTTTTCCTACTTTTGGCTCCTTGAAGAAGAATCTTTATTGGGGGAAAAAATGATCATTATTCTAAATCACAGCATAATTTCTCATATACACAAGACCTACCTTCTGAGTCACTGCTATCAGAACAATAATTCAGTACAACGTCAGCATAACCCATGTGACATGAGAATTTAAGATCTGGCTCTAGCTCCTTTCATGCTATTACTTGAAAACTAAATTTTGTTGCAAGTCTGCAGTTTGTGTTTGAAATGTAAGTACAAGTTTAACAAAATCTGTTATTTTTCATCTTCAACCAACCAACCAACTGTAAAAAAACATAATGCCATTTTGATACTCCATTAAAAAGATAGGTTTAATCACCTTTAGAGACTTGCTCACTGTAATTTTGTGGATATGATGAAAATAATTTGCCCCAATTGCCAATTTATTTATTTTTCAAATAGTCTGCACTTTTTGTCAACCTCTTCAGAGTGGTAAAAATATTCTCTCTCAATCTCTTTATGTGGTAAGTTTTATCCCCAAAGGATTTATTTTAGGGTATCTGTACACACTCTTACAATATTTCTCAGTCCCATCTTTAGTAAAATTCTTATCCTTTTAACACATTCAAAGGAAGATTACATAAAATATTTCCAAATTCCTCCTTTCCAGAAAGGCATGATTCATATTTCCCTTTTTGGCAAACATACCATGAACGCTGTTTTAAGAATGGATTCTGTTTTGTAATCCTATGCTCAGAGTCACCATGTACCAATCTGAGACAGAAAAGCCATATAAAGTCATTTAGACCACCACTCCCTCCAGTTCAGGGCTGTTCCATAGTGTGATTTCTAATGCTTTTTTCCCAGCCTACTTTCAAGCATCCTAATGTTTACTTTCACCTCCAGTCTCCCAATCTGTACAAGACCACTAATAGGAGAAGTCTGCTTTTCCATCACCATTGTTTTTTAAAAACCATTTCCTCCACCTAACTTAATCCCATTACTGACATACTCTCTTATATACACATAAACTAAGGTATTTTCTCCCCTGTCTGTTTTTTATACTTTTCCAGTTACTGATTAAAATACTGGATCTTTCTGTCCCATTGATGACTACTCCTCAGCACTCCTGAAAAACAAACGGTCACTAAACACTGTCTAAAACCTGAGCCCATCCCCCCCAGCCTGTTTTAATTAAAAATGTCTTAGTTCTTCATTGTAAAACATCTAAAACATAAATCAAAGGTAGCTCAGGTAGTAACATCAGTAGGAAATATAAAATAGGAGGGAGTAATCTAAGTCCACCTCAATGAGACTTTAGTGATGTTCTATTGCAATTCAGATGCCAGCATTGACTATTTTACTATTGATCATAAGACCAAACTACTGTGACTATCCATTATTATATATATCTGGAAGGACTACAATGAAGCGTTTATTGGCTGTCAGTTGTCAATGAATCCAGGTCCCAATTCCTCCCCAAGATTAAGTTACCTCTGCTTGTGTCCTAAAAAAATAAACCAGTGAAGCAAGCTGCACTAATTTCCTAGCTGTGAAGTCTTCAGTACTCCCTGCATAATAATGGCTTTCAAGTAAGTTTCTCAAAAAGCATATGACAGGGAATAGTAGCATTTAGAGACTTTATTCTTGTTCTATATCCACTCCTTTCATCATCACTGGGTAGAATAAATGACTGCCTGGGGGGTCAAAAAGAGAATACCTCAACAGGAAATCATTCTGTATCTAACTGCTATAATCATAACATTTTTGAATACATATACTTTCCCATTAAATTACTGAAAATTATTGGTAAAGATGAAAATGTTTATCTTATGTAATGGGTAATAGTCAGTTGTGGAATTGGTACATGACTTTCCTGCAAACATTAAAAAGCAGTTAAGCTTTGCATCTTTTAATTACTAGAGTTTATGTTAATAAAAATATATAGGTAGGACACTAAATTAGAAACAGGACAATTTTGAGGATGGTTATATAATAGACAATACAAATGAGAATAATGCAGAGAATTGCATGTAGAAAAATAAAATTAAGCTCAATATTGAAAATGTTTTTCCTTCTACCAGAAGTCCTCAACAGTTTTTCCTCAGACTTTGGCAGAAGCCAAGTTACTTTCACCATGAAATGAGAACAGACAAAACCCTGCACAACACCCAGGGTCGATTTCAGAAGCTCTTCCCTTCTTTATCTGTTTAGACAACATCGTATTTTAGCAAATTACTCACCTACACAGTTACCCACCCACGGGCAGTGGTGATCAAACTTCGCTATACATCGATTGCATACACCACAGTGTTTGGACCTCACTGGCTTCCGTATCTGTAATGGTTATTAACATTTGTTTAGAATAGCAAAAAACCCTAACATTTTTATATAGGAAAAAACCCCCTCATTTCAATGTAAATTGATTTTTCTATTGTTAACCCCTTAGCAAACTTCAAACTTCATGCTAATTTTTAAAACAATCTTAGCTATTAAGCTTAATGTATATACTATTTAACTCAAACATCTATACCACCTCACCAAAATGATTTTCATGCTATTTGTTATATAGAAAGGATTTTTTTTCCCTCATACAAATTCATCCTATCGCCTCCAGCTACTGCACTTTGTATAGCAACCAGTTTCATTTCAGCTTTTTAACAATGAAAATACAGAATGAGTTTGAGTTTCACGATTCTATCAATATAATTCATAAATGAGCTCTAATGTAAACTCTTCCAGCTTATTTTCTAAAGACAGGAATATGACTCAACAAGGAGAACTCGATGGAACTCAAAATGCAAAATTACTCCTAACAATTTTTTTAAAAAGGTTTGGTTTTAAAGAAGTATAAAATGGCAGTAAAAAAAGAACTGATATTAAGTGTTCTGAGATATATACGTACATATACACACGTAATTTTTAAGGTGTCACACCTGTACATAATTTTGCAGATTCAATTATTAACATCATTCACGTTCTACGTAGGTCAGAACATTACAGTGTAACACTGATAACCTTGATAATTTTGTATTTACTTGTTAACTTTCTAAAAAAGAAACACATTATATTTACTATGGTCACCTTTTTTTCCCCTTAAGCAGTTATTGCCTTTTAAATTTTCTGCGGTGAAACTAAGTATTAACTAGTCCAAGAAAAGTATTTGTTCACAATTTGGCAAGTTTTACAAGCTTCCCGCCCCCCCGCCAATTACTTCCAAATTGAGAAATATACTTGACTTTTGAAAAAAATATTTTACTAGAAGCACCACATAATTTTGTGAGTTACAAAGGTGGTGAAATGTCACCTGTGTTTTTCATAACTTGTTAGGTGTATAACCAGCCATCTTAGTAGATATATCAGATACTTGGATTTTGACACTGACAAATTATTTCCACAGTGATCATTTTTTTTTCTTATTATTGCAAGTGTTTTTTTTGTGTACAGATGTATTATTTATTGAAAACACTGCTTAAATTAAAGATCAAAAATAAACCCTGCCCTTGAAATTGCATTATTAAGGCCAAAAATGTGTTTAGTACAGGAACATCTAATTTTGGCCTAGCATTTAAAAAAAAAATAAAAATAAAAATCAGTGTTGCAATTAATTAAAAAATTAAAAAAATACACTACCAAGCAGGTACTGCAGAATATACTGAGGTCCAGACTTCCTGTCTCTGCAAGTTCTACTATTGTCTGCAGAAAAAAGAGAAAAGAAAAAAAAGAAATTAGAATTTAGCATATAAACAAATGCTGACAACCATTGTATTAGCTGCTTCTGAGAGCCAGGGTTGTGAACTTTAGTCTTTTCAGGTACTGTCTACACACGAGAACAACTTAAATTCAGCTGAAACTGATTTTAAACCTACTTTGTTAAACCAATATGCACATTTACTTCTAAATTAATTCTAGCTTATACTTACTCCTACTCTATCTAGGTTTAATCAGAGAAAAAGCAAGCTTATGTTAATTTCGATACATCTACACAGTGATTAGCACCAGTTTGACTAACCTGTTGTTAAACTTACTAAAATTAATGCAGCTGAATTTCTAAACAGGAACACAAATAAAACTAGCCAGCAGGATCAGCCAGTCTAAAAACTAGACTTTCTTTCCAGAGGTATCCCATCACAACCTTTAAATCTATATTCACCTCTTTCCTCAGATGTTGAAGCTTCAAGAACAGAAATAATGCAAACCAAACCTCCTCTTACAGATAATGCTACACTTATGGGTCAAGCAATACACAGAAATAGGCATGCTTTAACTGATACCTACACCTTCACACTAAACGATAGCTTTTTAAAAATTTTGTACACTCCTCCAGTACCCACTTCATTGTTGGAATAAAAGGACCCTAATATTCCATTAAATGGTTTCCAACAAGTTTTAAAATTCAGCAGCTGAAATCTGTGCCGGATGAGACTTAAATGACATTTGCCACATACTGAAAATATCCTGAAAACATCTTTTACCAGAATAGCCATCCTTGAACCAGATGGAATTCACTCAGCATAAACAGCCTAACGGCAAATAGATTAATCTACTGCTCCCTTTCAAACCATGTATCTCTCATGCATCAAGGTGGTTTCCAACTGCAGAAGCAACAAAATAGTCCTTACAATTATTTTCTCACCATAGCAATATAAACATGACTTCCTTAATTAGATGATGACCACCGAGGTGGGTATCTTGACTGAAGCTGCAGAAGTTTCCCTCCAAAATACTACACTTAATAACTGGTTATGAAAAATTTATGGAAACTTTTCCTCAAAGTAACCAGTAAAAGCTACAGTCAACAGTCCAGGGGTAAATCACTCTTAATGCTTTCTCTGCTGATCTCAGGTAAACGAGGAACAATCTTTACAGTTTCCGAACACTTCTAAGTTCTGAAAGCTAGACTATTTGTTCTCCTCACTTCTTGTATTTCCACCTGCTACTGGCCCAGTATTCTTGCCTCCATCACTGCAACCCTTGAGATCCCCTCTCCAACCAACCACTGCCACTCACAGGCCCTTCCATGTCCTTCTCGCATCTTGCCAACTTCAGTACTCTACATCCCTTTCTCATCCCCCTCTGCCCTCCCTCACTGCTCTAACAACATTTCCCACTACAGGACTTGAAATTAAAGAGCCTCCCTCACAAGACTGATGAAAGGATGCACAAAGGAACGTACATGTTGTGATGCTCAGCACTGGAGTTCAGTATTGTCCACAAGCAAGACCCCAAAGCTCAGGAGAACAGAACAGAACAAGAGCAAATAAAACACTTAAAGTCTCCACAGAGATTACAGCATAGAGACCCAGAAGTACTCAAGTTAGAGCCACATTTTTGTGGTTTGTAAATGTTGAGTCTATTTTCTGTGCTTTCCAACTATTAATATTTGATTTTGAAAATTTGGAATTGTTTATTTATTATTTATTTACTAATTTTAAGAGTGACTTGGGCTACTTTGTAACACAGAAGAAAGGGCATGACGTATCAGAAGAATAAACATCTGAAATTGTTGCTTACTACTTATTTCCAAACATACTTAACATGGTCTTCTGGAATTAAAAGAACTTTTTTGGTTGCTTATTCCAAAGCTAAATGCTAACTCAACATAAAACATTTGGAGACAAATTACAAAAACTTGAGAAAGCAGTACACTGCACAAAGGTAAGACATGCACCCTACAGTGGTTTATGCCCCTGATAACAGATCATTTCACAATTTGGTTAGCTGCAATGTAAGACATCCAAAACATTCATAGCCATATGCATCTGACTCAAGAAGTTGCATTTTGCAATTCCTATCCAGTTCAGCAAGGCTTTTGTAGCCACACTCAACTACTTAAGCAAGTAGATCAAATGAATTGCATATTTGTGCTATTTGCTGAATCCAAACCAAAGTACAGTTGCTGACTCGTCTATTTTAGTCCAGTTGAAGGAAGGTAATTTAGTCTGGAACTTACTTTGGCAAATTTGCAATAACAGAAAGGGAACTTGCAAAAGTAAATCTGCACATTGACTATCAACTCAGTAATAAGCTATTGGAGGGGAAAAAAAAAAAATCACTTAAAGCTACCATAGCCATCTTTTAAAGGCTATTATATGTTTATCACTACATAAGGCCCTAATTCCAAGCCTCAGATTTCAATCCACAGAGGTATTTTCACAAATGAGCGTGATGTAGAACCACAAAACTCACTTTTAGTGGGATGTGAGCTTCTAGGACACTTGCCTAAAATGAAACAAACAAAATGTTTCTCCTGCTTGCTTGTATTTTGCAACATTCAATGAGTGACAGGACAAGAGGAAATGGGCTTAAGCTGCGCCAGGGGAGGTTTAGGTTGCAAATTAGGAAATTAGATGTGGCACTTCGGGACATGGTTTAGTCTAGTCTACCCTTGATTGGCTTAGAATAGACTTGGTAGTGTAGGTTAATGGTTGGACTGGATGATCTTAAAGGCCTTTTCCAACGTAAACGATTCTATGAGTTTGGCTGCTTAGGTCAATGCACTTCAACAACAACAAAAAATCAGAAATGCTAATGATAGTGTTATAAAGTCTTAGAAAGATGTCATTAGATCATCCACATTTTCTCTAATATTTAAACCAGAAGAAAAAAAAAAATCCATCCCAGACTGCCTGGGGTTTTGGTTATTTTTATCCTCAGTCAGTCTAAAACTTTTAGACATAAAGTTAAGGAAAACTAGAGGTGCTTTAAAGTCTGGAAATTTTCTTAGAATCAAATTAACTAACACTTATCCCACAATAGGTCATTTCAGTAAGGCAAAATTCTGAAATTTCACATTTTCATTTTCACCCAACTGCTTTTTAAACTTTTTTATCTTGAAAATCTAAGCTGTGATTTTGCTACTTAAAATGACCTAAACGTAACTTTGGAGCAGTAAGCACTTGAATGTATATTCCAAATGTAAAAAAAGAAACCTGGATGACAAGTGAAAGGAAAACTTTTCAACATTTTAAGACTTTAATTTAGACATTTATTGAAATTTCATGTACTGAACAGCAAACTACTCTGACCAACTAGTGGCAGGCTGCTGAAGATCAAGTTTCACATATCTCATGGCTTTACCTTTTTCTTTTGTTCTTCCGTGGCTTTGATGATTCCCGGATCAGACTTCCAGGATTTTCCAAAATTGTAGAAAAGTGCAACACTATTAGCGAGGAATGGAAGATGTATAAAGAAAAAATTGAGATGTGTTTGAAGTCAAGGAATCTAAAGTTTAAAACCAAATTTCCTCTTGAAAATACCAACTGATAATTCTGAAATAAAATTTAAATAAATTTAATTTTTATGAATGCCCTTGAGTCACTGTCTTCTGAATTAACAAAATTCACCGCTGCTGTAAGAACTAGCTTGGTACTCAGTATTTTCTATTGCTCAAAAACGTGAAAACTTACTTTTTAGAACACTGTTCTTCATGAGGCATTTCTAAAGCACTTAACCTTCTAAAGAATGAATAATGACAGTTCAGTTTTTGTAATTATTTTCCCTTTTAAATAAATTAAATTACATTAAATTTGTCGTCTTAAAAGTATTTCCTGTTTTCACAATAAACATTTCAGAGCTCTATTTATAAGATAGTCATTTGACTGCCTATGTCTTCAGTGGCTTGACATTCCTGTTAGGTCACAGAAAGGACTGCTTCTAGCCATAGAAGGAATTGTGCTGCCACAACCACTGTTGCATGGCAATCACATGTCAACACCACTTATCTCCAAGAAAGGTATTGTCTGAAACCTGCTCCTATTATAAGGCAATACCCATATTTTCCATCAATGAAAGTTATTTTTAACATACTAATACATCTAATCCTTACAAAAACACAGGATTTAATATTCTCTGGAAGTGTTTATACAATCAATTACCATATAAAGACAGAAAATAACCATTAGTTTTAAAAAATATTTCCTGTGTTGACTGACTTGCCATGTAACATGCCTAGTCTTACACCACTTGACATTTCCTTCACAGAATTAAAACATTTCTTAGCAATAATGTGGAAAACCCGAGTACTTCAGACATGCCTCTTCCACAAAAGGCAGAAAATTTACTCTGATACACCTACAAAAGACCTGACCAACCTGACTAACCATCAGTCATAACTGCAAGGAGATGCTGTATTTGACAAAGCTGTGGTGGCAGAAGCCTCTACAGCATTATCCAGGCAAAAAGGACACTTATTACTCAGGCACAAATCACTGCACACCCAAACTACGCTATATTCTGAGTAACTTAGATGAATATTTCTCTCTACTTAGGTAGTCATTAGAACTCCTACTGTAATTAAAGTTTAATATATTGTGTGTTTGCATTACAAAACCTTGCATATAAGACCAGAAACCAAGCATTACGTAGCAATCTGTACTGACTCGGTATATAATACTTTAAAGACAACAACAAAAACCCATTTTTTGCATGCTTTGAAAAAATTGGATTTTGAAGTTAGAATAGATGCTCAAATATATTCTACTATATAGCCACAAGTATATTCTATTTTGTTTGAGTCTATTGGAAAAAAATGTTTATTGAAGGCATTAAGCAGTATTAAGAAAAAAATTACCCAAACCCTTGATAAACAAATCTACATGGTATAGATACAAGCAAATATTAAATGAAAAAACCCAGAATTTCTATAGAATAGCAGTATCTCAAATCCTTCTACACTGCTCTTGTGAGGTGAAAGAATCCTGACATATGAATAAATACAAGTAAGGCCTCTTTTTGACTTCTGAAATGCTAACAAAGTCTCATTGTTCATGTGAAGCGTATCCTAAATAACTTTTGTTTTCCTTCTGTTGGGGGAAGGAATTGGCTGTGAATTTCTAATAAAAAAATATTGGCAAGTTAAGTTAAAATTTTAATGATGTACCTTATATAGTAGAATGTTAGCATTAACTCACTAAAGGCTAATTAATCTTTCCTCTAAGAAGCTGTTTCCAGCAAGTTTATAATAGGGGGGAAAAAACCACTAGCTATACTATAAACTAAACATTCGGCAGTTCTATTTGATACATTATGCATGAAAAGCTCTGACTAATATTTATACAACCTAATTTCTTCCTATTTTTCTTCTAAAATTATCTGCTGCCAAGAATAAGCTGGTTCAACTTATTTGTATAGCTACAGAGAGATTACATTTTCTTTAGAATACTAAAAGTATCACCGGGGTTTTTGCTACAACAGTGAAAATTGTTTTTTTCATTAAAAATACCTTAATCAGACATCTGTTACAAACAATAAAGGTACACCTGAAAAAAATTATATGACCCATTCCTAATTACTATACGTCATGTCTAGACTGTTAAAGAAGATATGGGGAAGACAATTTATTTTCTACCCAGTAGAAGGGTTTTTATAACCTTAAAGTTTTGGAATTGTTTTTTTAATGACTAAAATTTGGACAACCTGTGTGATGAAGAAGCTGTCCATGGATCCAAGCCACACGAGTAGAAATTCATTATGCAGAATTTTTCTGAACTTACCCTTCCCCCATTTTACTCCACAAAATACAGAGAGCATAAGAGACACCCCACAGAGTCTAAGTTTTGCCTTTCCTGTTATCATGGAGGTGTCAAATGAGTGCAACGCTGACAGTGTAAATGGTGGCAGATAAGGTACTTCTGTGCTGAGGATGGGAGATGTTGGGAGACTACATGAGAGAGTAGAGTTAGGTATAGATGAGCAGTAACTGTGTAAATGGAAAAAGACGAAATCAGCCGTCTTTTTCATTAGTATCTTCAAAAACCCATTTCTCATAAGTTCTAAGCAAAACTAGGGAGAAGGGATGAAAACCAACCAGACCATGAAGGAGAAAGGAAAGTTAGAATTGTCTTCTCTGATGCAGACAAACAACTCCAACTGTGGGATTCATCTCACCTACCTTAAATCACTCAGTATGCCTTCATACACAACAGAAAGGAAAAAGCTATGTCCAATCTATCTTCAGTATCAAGATATTTAAATTAAGTCAGAACAGCAGTGCCCTACAAACGGCTATTTTTCTCCACTGGCTATGAAGAGAGCTTAAACAACTAACTTAGATATGGATGTGTACACTAGGGGTATCTAAAATTGCACTGAACTCCCCTTTGAAGTTTACTTCCAAAGAGATTTTAGCAACTTTGAGCAACTCTCAAAACTCTCAATACACAAGAAACCCTTGTAGGTTTGCATTAGCTATAGAGTAGGGAATTGGTTCTCCAGAGAGTCTCATTTTGTCGTAACATTCTCATTTACAACTACGCAAAGAAAAATACATTACCATATTATTAAAGGCTGCAAAATGCATGATATAGCAGGCACTCACCTTCTGCCCTGTCACCAATTTGCTGTCTTTTATGAGGTTTTCCCAGTTTTCATTGTGAGAGACAAAGCAGAAACACCCATGAAACACTTCCTACTTTTAGTCCTAATCAATATCCTTTCATTATTAGAACAAGTACAACAGGCTGAAAATTATTCCAGGAAACTACCTGGAACCAAAAAGACCATCTCATTAGAAAGAAAAATAAAACCCAACAAGCACCCCACAACCCATGAGTGAGGTGATGTGACGAGCTAATTTTTCACCCTGAACTGCAGCCTATTTAAAAGGGCCCAAACATACGCAGCTTCCTGCTATCACAGCTACACATCATACAAGAGTCTGAAACCAAGCCAAAATGGCTTTATTGCCATTATATACCACCAAGACGCTCCCTTCCACTAACCACAAATCCAGTAATAGTCCTTTTCTCCTAAAGAAAAAAGATCTACAGCCAGTGTAAGCTGTCAGAGATCAATACATGCTAATGAACCTGCCAATTCGTAACAGATGTACATCTGGATCCAAGAGTCCAGGTAGATAACAGCAGACAGATACACAAGAAGCCTCATTTGACTAGGCATTTATTAGACAAAATCCATTTTTAATCAACCGAAGCTCTGCAAAGGCTCTCTACCTCCACCTTCCACCTAACATTAAAAAAATCCCTTAGCTTGCAAAAAAAAAAAAAAAAAAATTCATTCCCTGCCCCCCCCCCCCCCACAGATTTTTTTTTTTTTTTTTTTTAAATTTAGAAAAAGTATTTAGGCATAGGAACAGAAGCTCTGGATAGCTGGGCCTGAGGTTTGGATTTTTTGGGTCTTTGGTTTCTCTAGAAACATGGCTGATGGCTTCTTTCTTCCTGCATGCATGCAAGGACTTTTGCTGTTTTCCTGAAGCTAATTTTGGTAATATGAATGGGGTTTTTTTTTGTTTTTAACTGCTTAACTGTACCAATTGGCTTGTTAGAGGTTTTAAAACACTATGCCATTGTAACAGCTTTGTGAAATCGTGAAAATGATCGTGAATTCTCTTATACCCATTTTTTAAAATGATCCCTAATTGAAA